ATATATTTATGATGGTACTTATGTATATGTATATGATGGTACTTCTTCCAGTTATTTAACTGTTAACCTTGGTGTACCACAAGGTTCAGACTTAGAACCCTCTATCTTCACAATCTACATAATAATGTAGGTCAGATCATTCCTGATGCATCCTTACATTTCTATGCTGATGTTACAGTTGTTTATTGTCGAGTTACAACAATTGTTAAGGTTTTCCAGCTTTTGCAATCTGCTTTTGACATCATCCAGTCAGAGTTGTTCCATCTCAAACTTGTGCTAAATGTTGATAAAAACAAAGGGATGCTGTTTTCTAACAGGAAGTCAGTTCCAGCAGTCCTTTCTTCTATTTTCTCTTCGAATGGTGTTCCTATTGAGTATGTTGATTCTTACAAATACATCTTGGTTGATCCGCATCTCTCTTTTAAGCCTCATGTTGAAAACTTGGTAAAGAAACTGAAAGTAAAACTTGGTTTTCAACACAAAAAAGAAACTGTCCAGATAACCTGACTGGTCATTGTTTGATTTTATACCTGGATTATTGAGCATGGACTTTGGTGTAAAATGGTTTCTTTTTCAGAAATAGATCCCGTCTAACTCTGAACGCTAGGAAATGCCTTGTTACTGCTACTTTCCTTCCTTCTATTGACTACGGTGACATTATTTACATGGATGCTCCTACAAGCACTCTGCAGATGTTGGATGCTGTCTATCACAGTGTGCTAAGATTCATAACTGGCTGCAACTATCGTACCCACCATTGCACCCTGTATTCACTGTTTAACTGGACATCATTAACTTCACGTAGACTCTCTCACTGGTACATTTTCATCTTTAAATCACTTCTTGGTCCATTGCCTTCATACATCTTCTCCTACATGTCACTACGTGAGTGCAGCTACAGCGTGCACTCTCAAGACATAATTACCTGTAGTGTTCCTGTTTTTAGATTTTATATCACTTTATAATGTAGCTGTTTTTGTTTAGTTTTTTTTATATAATTTAATCCATTTACTTTTTATGGGTTTTTGTTTATTTTTATGATTGTCTACTGCTGTCATCTGTGTTCTTTGTTAAAACAGGTCTCTCTTGAAAATGAGTCCTCGAGGCTCAATGAGACTAACCTGTATAAATAAAGGTTGAATTGAATTGAATATATATTATATATTGTTATTATTAATTGTAATAGATTGAGGAAGATAACCACACAAATCTGCGGTTTTAATTTATTTTATAAATGTTTAATTTTTTCCTAATTATGTGCAACACTCATGTCACACTGTGTCTCTTTATTTATTTTTTTTAATATCTGTTTTAGGTCTTTTTAGAACTGTAATTTATAAAAAGAAAAATATGTGCAGCATATATAATTTGATTAAACGCTTACAAGTTGTATACCAGATTTATTTTACTTTTACTTAGTTTAAATTAAACATAAATGCATTTTATGAAGCAAAACAAATATTTAATATTTCCACATTTATTACTGATGCTATAAGCTAATGATTCAATTTTGTTCCAGTTTAATAAAAAGATTCAGCTAGCTCCAACTAAAACTTTGCTTGTTTTCTAGTTTGTTCTTTGACCAACCTAAAGCCTTTCAAATAATCAGTGTAAGTTTATGCAGATTTCATCTTGCATGTTATGTTGCTCATGAGACAAAACCAGTGCAACTTTTAATAGTTTTTACTTCCTTGCTCATCTGCCTAATGCACTGTGACACAATCAGGGAGGACGTATTTGCACAGACTCACATTTAAAATGACCCTGTTGACACGATGAGAGTGATTATCAGCCAACACTTTGACAGCTCAAGGAGCTGGGTCATCAGGCCTGGTATTCATGAGTACACAAGGAAACAGGCTTTTAATAGTCCCTTATTAAATTCAGATGTTCTGGTTAAAGTGTGGGAAAGGAAGATGAAGGGGACATGTGTCACCAAGCTGACTGATTTAGGGAAAAAAGGTGAAATGCTTTGAAAAGTCAAGTAACAAACTGTTTTATCATTCTAATTATAGATCAACACAAATAATTTTTCTGAACCCCAGATAAAAAAATGTTTAAATACTAAAATGTCAAAGTACAGCAAAAAATGAATGTGTCAAATGACAAGCTACTCCCCCCCACTAACCCCTCTGCAGCCACCAGTGTTTGTGAACTCGCTCCATAAATCTTCATGTGATATTGATGTGTCAATCTAGTCATTGGCTTTACTGTCAGTCCATCCAGCGGTTGTAAAGATTAGTGGGTCTGGTTACTGTCTGCTGTGGGAAGATGCCCTTGACTGAGCAAACAGGAGGAGGACATCCAACCTCCCACCCCCACCCCCCTCAGGGTGTCTTAACTCCTGAAGTACACCTTGATCTATGTCCAGTGGAAATATTTACTGCCTCCTTATGTGTTTGACAGTAGTTTATGCTTGTTTGATGGTTGTTGGTTTGTGATGGTATAACTGGATTCCTTTACTTTTGCACTGATCGAATCCTTACAAGTCTTTATTGTTGTGCTTTTTTGCTTCTTTGTTGCCCTGAATCGTTATTTCAACATTCCTTTTTTCTAATGTTCACTACAGATCTCCGCACTACGCATGCCCAGAGGTCATCAGGGTGAGTAAATTTGCAATAGTTGTTCTTCTGCACTAACTTATTTTTAAACGATACAGTTTTATGTCACTATCGTGGTTCAAACAAATGTTCTTGCCTTCAGGGGGAGAAGTATGATGGAAGGAAAGCAGATGTGTGGAGCTGCGGTGTCATACTTTTTGCTCTTTTGGTGGTGAGTGCCTGTTTTTAACTAACTGAATGAGATTGGATTTTGATGCAACATGGCATAATTTAAACATCAAGTGTTGCGTTTCCATTACATTTAATAGGTTGTTCTTTTGTGATGTTTCATAAACCCACAAATATAACTATTAGAAAGGACAACCGTGGCTTTGCTTATCAACTTTTGATTCAAGGGGATTCTTAATGGGATGAAGTTCTAGAATTGCACCACTAAAGGTGGCTGCATGTTGGAGCAGCTCTGTTACTTTCATTCTGGGATGTTGCTTTTGAAATTTAATTTAATCTTTTTTTCTGGATGTAATTCACTTTTTTTTCTATGATTATTTCATCTGGTATCTGATGCTGTGCAGCTTAAAGGATTTTTACTGAACCTTTTTGCTTTTGGACATTTGTTATGATGCGTAACCATGACAACAAGGTGGTTTTTACAATTGGGAGCAGCTGATTAACATATCAAAAGCTCAAATAATACCTGAGCTACAGCACCAAATCACAAATTCGTTAAAAAGGAGGTGATGTGTACGCATCCCCATGTACCTGGCGGAGGTGCTTGAGTACCTGAATGCCGAGATCCTGGAGCTGGTGACAAAAGCGGCTCGTGACTACAAGAAGACCAGTATCATCCTCTGACTCCTGTAGCTGGCTGTCAGCAATGACGAGAAGCTCAACAAGCTGCTGGGTGGAGTGGCCATCTCTCAGGGAGGAGTTCTGCCCAAGATTCAGGTGGTCCTGCTGCCCAAGAAGACTGATAAATCCACCAAGTCCAAGTAGACAGATCAACATTTGCAGCCAGTTTCCTCAGATCTGCTCTAAGGCAGACCGATACAAGAGATCCTTCCTGCCCATAGTCATCAGCATCTATAACAACTCTAATGAAACCAGGATGATGAGTTACAACAACTTTTAATTTCCCTTTGGGATTAATAACATATTTTTACTTGAAATGAATTGAATGAAACCATGATGTAAACCTGAAGTAACTTTGGAACCTCAAATTAAAACGTTGAGGAGTTCACTTCTAAATCCTAACATTAAGAGCGCTTTACCCCCAAAAAATGTTACAGGGGCCCTCAAGCTGGTTATCCTTGCACAACTTCAGATCAGAGAACTAGAGCATCTTTTTATTCATTATCCCATCTCCACACACACTGCTGTATCTGTAATAAGGTCTGCTCTCTTGCTACATTATGTTTGTGGTTCCCCAGCCATGCAGCCCTTAAGCTTTGTTTCATTAACAGCTGTATTGGAGTTCCTGCACACTCCTGCTTCATGAATAATTCATACTGCCAAGCTGAAAGAAGTGAGCCCAATATAAATATCAACACTGACATGGCAACTTTTTGCCACAGGCCCTGTGTTTTTTGTCTTATTTTTTCTTTATTCACCCCTACTCTTACCAACTCATTTGTGTTTACTTGAGTTAAAGGGAGACTTCTCTGTGCACTTGTGTTGTATGAATCTTAAACTGTTTACATTTTCCAATTGCAACCATTCTCTCAGTCCAAACAAGTTTTACTGTTTGCCCACAGAAACCGTACTGTCTTTCTCCAGTTTCCCCCTGCTGTCTTGCTGCAAGATAACCATTTGTCTGATTGTGGGAGACTCGCTTACTCCCCAGCAGTTAGGCTGCACTCAGATCATCTGTTACACAAGTCTGTCCCCCTTTTTATCCTTAGTCCTCTCGTTCACCAGCTTGCTCTCTTCCATCTTCTCTTCTGCTGAAAGTTGTGATTCATCACACAGCCACATCTGTGAAGTGTCAGCACTCTGATAAATAGCTGTGATAGTCTAATGCTAAACGAAGGAGGTAAATGAGAAATCAGGGTAATTATCCAAAAAAAAGTCTTGTTTTCAGGGCACCGCTCTTTGTTATTTACGTTGCGCTGCATTTGACAGAAGAATACTCAAAGTGAAGAGTTGAAAGGGTTAAAAAAAAAAGCAAGCCTATTTCTGCAGTCGTGTGGAAATAAAATTCTTCTTTTTCGTGTTTGTGCATTCCTGTCTGCCTCATCTGACTTGTTGCTTCTGTGCTTCTTCAGGGTGCCCTGCCATTTGATGATGACAACCTAAGGAATCTCCTGGAGAAAGTGAAACTGGGAGTGTTTCATATGCCACATTTCATCCCTCCAGACTGTCAAAACCTTCTCCGCAGCATGATTGAAGTTGATGCCACCAAAAGACTAACGGTCAGTACATTCAAGAGAGTTGACAATGATTAAGAATGTGCTTGTTATTTTTTTAATTTTTAATTTTTTTTTTTTGGGGGGGGGTTACTTAAAAAAATCAATTAGTATCAACCTTTATGGTACAATCTTGAAGCTACAAGCTTGGCCCGGCAGTGTTGACCACAAATTTTGGCTGTTTGGAGTTGCCATTGAGACGTACTAGTAGAACAAAAAGGCAGACAGAAATCAAGCAGAGTCGACTTGACCCAAATAATTGTTGTTATCTGAATCTGGCTCCCTCGTGTCGGCCTTGAATTGGACCACTATCCCAAACTCTCCTGGATGTTATGTGAACTAGAAGCTCTGCTCCCCCCTCCCCTACCTGCTCCATTCCCAAGGACATCTGTGGACCTGTATCAGAGCTGAGCCAGCTGATAGACACTGCACCATCTCTTATCAGGACTACTGGACTATCTGGCAGTGTCCACGGACAAACTCACCGCCTTCGTTAGCCTCCCTCATGCATATATGTATCATGATGTCATCAGTATGTTGCTGTTTCTGTGCTGAGGTTTTTTTTTTTTCAACTTTCACACGGTGTGCCATCGAGGACACAGTATGAGATATGATTTTTTATACCTCCCCTTCCCTCCGTGTTTTCTCTTTTCTTATCTAAATGAAAAAGGCTGCGCCTCACACAGGGCCGCGATCTAAGACACCTCCATCCCCCCATGTCTGTTTGTTTGTGTTTTACTCTGACGGGTTGTACTGAAATTAAATTGTATTGTTCTTCGGTGCAATGGCAATAAAGCTGATTCTGATTCTGAAAATATTGATAGACCACAGCTATCACCTATGTGGAGCCAGACTTTAGTCTATTTACTATGTATTTGCTGCAGGACGATGGTTATGAATTTGGCATTCAAACATCTTGCAGTTGATCAAAAGCATAACATATTTTAGATGGCCATGTCTTTTTTTGTATGTTTTAAATTTAAATGATAAAAAGACCATACATATGAAAAACACAGATAGATGGTGCTCCTGTTCTTTTTTCTTGCTTCAGCTTTTATATTCAGTCAGTAAAAGCACAAAATACTCCCACTCCATAAAATAAAACTCCCAGATTTTCATACACATCTCGCACGCTCACACACTCTCTCGAGTCACTCCAGGTATCTTCATGAATCAATGCATCTGTTTTCATGCACTTGTCTGCAAGGAAATGTGGTGACACCACAGTTGGTAAATGTTGCCGCTCCATTTCCCCAAGCCTTAGCTTATCTTTCACAGTATCGGAACAACTATGAGCACAGTGACAGAAACTTAGACACACCACGAAAATAATAACAGAAAAAGAAAGCTGCACCAAAATGGGCGTTTGGTTGCAATTGAATTGGCACTCGTATGGTAAAGTGCTTCAGATAAGCATCATGAGCTAGAAGGATGTTGCCTTTTTATTATGCTGTATGCACATTATTTGCTTTATTCTCCTGTCCTCCCTGCCTGACGAGGGCAGGTCACCCTGAGATCCCCAGATATGCCCACCAGACAGCGGCAACGTCCTCGATAAAGGGATAAAGGTGCACCCAGACCAAGCTGGGAGAGAATATGGAATCTGTCTGCTCCCCTCTCGTGCACGAGGACTCCAAGCAGAGCTCTGGGGGAAGTGTTGTAACCTTACAGAATGTCAAATAGCCTCTTAGCTCAAGAGTCCTCAGAGTTTAAACGAAAATGACAACATGAGGGAACCCGACTTTATTTTTCCCAAGATTATTTGTCCATAATTTTACTAATGACAATCTGCTGAATATAAATATATGAGTAGCAGTTTATTTCCCTAAGATATATTGTCTTTGTAGATGAATGTAAGCCTTCCGTCTCTGGTGGGGAGACCACACACCTGAGCTTAAGAGGCTTATAAAAGGCTTAGCCCAATAAAAAGCATTTTTCTTTAGTCCCTATTTCCTTAATTAAGCCCATGGAGGCCACAGTGCCATCCACCTCAACGATCATCTCATCCAATCTATTTAAATGAGCAAATAAATTCTGAAAAATCTGTCTACTCATTTTATCTGGCTGATGAAGAGGATTGGCTACTTCATCATTTTAAGAGATCAAATTATTTCAGATCATTACTGTCCTCGTGGGGTAGGAGCAGATAAAGTTTTAAAGCTGTTGTGTTTTGCAAATCTTTGTCATAGCCAACTAAAATTTAGTTCAGTAAAAAAGACGATCAGCTTTTGAAAAATGCACCGAAACACCTATTGTGGTCAACAGCAAGCATTTTGAAACTTTATGGTGTGTGACAGCACTGAATCTTTGCCTACAATAAAAAGAAGAAATCTTCCTGTTTATACTCTCTCAGTTACCAAAGAGAGCAACAATCACACAATAGGTGAAACCTTTAACTTTCAAATGAACCTTGTTGGCTTTAACTCAATTTTGTAGTAGAAACATTTATTTAAAAATGAGCAATTATAACAATTCAGGACTGTTTTTACTCCTGAACAGCAGTAATGTAGTTTGGCATTACCATTATTAACAAGTCAATGAGTTCAGTTCAAGTTTCAGTTCATCTACTGTTTGAAATAAGTCATTTTAACTCATTTGTAGTCCACTTTAGTCCGACTGGGTAACAACTGCGTTTCTAATAGATAGGAGTCAACATTTGTGATTTATTCCGCTCAAAAATAATCTTACTTCTATGTTTAGTGTGTTTTGCTTGATAGGGAAAAAGTTGTCCCTACACTCACGTTGTTCCAACAAAAAAACAAAAAAACAAAAAAAAATGCAGACCTGCTTTCATTTTAATAAATGTTTATTTTTGCATTTTTTGAGCCGCACACCGAAAAATCCATACTCAGAAAAGCACCGATACACACAAATAATGGTCAAATCTTATTGAGGTGATTCTTTACCTCAAACTACATCACTTTTCAGCACAGTATGTGTGTGACACTAGTTTCCTGCCTTCAGGCCCTTCAATAAAAGCAGAGAGAGTAAGTCACCCACTGGCCTATATCTGACAGCCTGGGTGTCTCTTTCAATACTATGACCTCTGCAGTGGTGGACAAGAGTTACCTGGAGTCAGTAACCAGAGTCCGCCTTGTTCTGTGATTGCACTAATATCACATAAAGTCATTTATCATTTCTGCAGTGCAGAGGTCGGTCCTACGGGATGCAAGAAACATCGAGATATTGATAGAAACATCTACACACAAACTATGCCTCTGAATGAGTGACAATAATTAGAGTTGCTGTGTGTATCTCCCGTGGTTCCACAAAAGCAGCATGAGCAAATTAAAAAGTCCCAGCAGTGACATTGATCCCGTTTCCCTCTGTGGGCAGTTGAAATGCGGCAGAGTCATTGTAAAAGACATCTTTCTTCGTTGCCCTTTGGCTCGCTGTTTCTGTCTTCACTTTGCCTTGGTGTTATTGGCAAAAGCCCATGTTGACAGGAATGGTGACAAAGTGGCTGCATTAGATGTGTGGTGACAAGAGCGGCATCGAGGAAGTGTTTTTTTTTTTTTTATGTGTGTGAGTAAGAGTGATGCGAAGAGGCTGAGAATGGGAGATTCCCTTCAGACCAGGAGCTTGGCAGGGTCAGCAGTGTGTGTGAGAAAGATAATATTCTCTGTTTTAAGCTCAGGTATTTCACCTCTCTCCAACATACATAGCAGCACCTCTGCCCATCTTCATTTTGTCAATACATTAGTCCCTCGTTTATTGCGGTGGATGCTCGTACCCTGAAGCCCCGCGGTAAATGAAAACCATGAAGTAGGAATAGTAGTACAAGTATTAAGTAGTAGTCTATTTTAGAATTTTTATATATATATATATATATATATATATATATATAAAGGAGTTTTAAACACTTCTCACACTCTTGCAATATTCTAAATAATGTTTCTAAACGCTCTAAAAGAGCGCAGAATGTCATGATTTCATCTCTGCCTCATCTGCACTCTGCCACAAAGGTGCAACAGGCGCTAACTAATGTAAAATAATTTATTTTAAATAAAAATTCCATGCTGACCGTGCGGCTCATCCATCAATCAGTCAATTGTTTGTAATGTCCAATCTTATTTTGAAAAACCGCAATAGAGCGAGTCCGCGAAAAACAAACCGCGAAGTAGCGAGGGACTACTGTATGTTTATCCCCAACGGCAATGTCAATATTTGCTTCATTACTTACTGCTTCTGTTAAAACCGCTTGTTTTTTTCCTCTTTTTGTTTGAAAATTATTTAATAAAAAGCCCCAAAAATATTTTGATGCATATATGTTTTTTTTGTTTCTTTTCCTTTTAATTACCATTTTATTTTCACTTGTATAAAAAATAATAATTTGTACGCACCCTTTATGATTGTCTCTTGTTGTCTTTGTTGTCCACTGTTGTCATCAGTCTTTGTTAAAATCAGGTCTCTCTTGTAAATGAGTCCCCGCGGCTCAGTTGGATTAACCTGTCTAAATAAAGGTTGAATGAAAAAATGTAATTTCTTGTTTTTCATCCAGAGTTGCATTGATTGTTTTGGCGTTACTTTGATAAAATTATTCAGGGAAGTTCTTTGTTTGTGCACTGATCTGCCTTTTCTCCTCCTGTCTCTTACAGTTAGAACAAATCCAGAAGCACACGTGGTACATGTAAGTCTTACTCTGCCTTTCCCTTCTTGTTCCACCCTCTGCTCCTCTCATTCGTTAGACTACTCTGCAGGGCTTGTAGACCTGAAGGGAGCTACCGCATGAAAAATGACTTTGGGTTTCAGCTACGTACACAGGAGTACATTTATGCAGGGCATGACTTCACTCTCGGGGACGTGAGGGTAAAATGGTAGAGCATGAGCAAAAATTTGAAGCATATGGTCAAGTGAACAAGGAGAAGGCTTTAGGGACCAAGCATGGATGTAGAGACTAAACCCACCTAACCACCCTCTTCACCCCCTGTTAACATTTGACACTGAATGTGTTCACCTTATTAAGCTAACACAGAGATCTAAAAAAAAAGATGAGCACACTGCATTAAATTAATTTAAGGATAAACTTTTATTACACTGATGTAGCATAAATGAGAGAGTGAGTCGTGGATGAAACTGAGTCATGGTTCCCGTCCTGATCTGAAACGTTACGCAAACAGACAAGACTGATGAAGGAAAACAAGGGAAGACAAGAGTTGGGTCGAGGAGATGAATGTGAGTTGTGACAGTGAGATAGTTGCCTGCCTTTCTGGGTCTGCACAGCTGGGTGACCTGATGAATGACTGGTTTAATGAATGAACAAATGAAGGAATGCATGAGAAAAAAAACATCCTGTATGATAAATGTGCATGTTTGTTAAAGCTCATAAACAAAACCTTTTAGACACAAGAAAAGGATGAACACAAATCTAACTTTCTCCTGTTTGATAAGAAGCATTAAAAGTTCCAAGTCAGGCTTTACTTCAGGTTTTTTTCTTGCTTTGTTTCAGGCTCAGATTCTGCTGCTCCAGCGTGACACCTAGTGGTGACTTATTTGCACATTTAATGAAGAAAATGGCATTTTATTAAATGAGTTTGAGAGAAAATAGATGAATGCATCCCATTAGTTGTTCTGAAAGCTTGATTGATTGGGTGATTTTTTTTCTACCAACAAATGTTATAAGTACTTAGTGAAATGGTAGAAATGGAAGTGAAAGCATCACCGTACGGCTAGTTTACATGTTTACAGCTGAACAGAAGATGGGTTGTTTTCATTAGCTGCCAGTGGAGGTTTATGGTTCACTGAACTCATCAGAATAAGAATAGATTCAGGAAAAAGTAACAAGGAGCATGTTGACTTAACAACTGAAAAAACAAACAAAAAAAATCTTTAAAAACCTAAGTGTTTTTTGTGAGCTCTCTGAAACATGCACATTAAACTAAGTGTTAGATTTATCGTGTAAATTAATTTTACATTGAGCCAGATAATGATATCAGCCAAAGTTAAACAAATACTGACAAACATTACTGGCTTTATTATTCTTTATTCTGTTTGCTCATCATTTTGTGCAGATAATTGATATGTGCAAGTAATGTGGACTACAACTTAAACTTAATGTCTTTTTAGCATTTTGAATAACACATTAGAAAGAACAAAATATTTGATCTTCTCCTTTTATTTGTTGTATTTTTTTTATTCCCAGTGGGGGTAAAAATGAGCCAGAACCCGAGCAGCCTGTGCCTAGAAAGGTAACCATCCGCAGCCTGCCTTCTGCAGACGACATCGACCCAGATGTACTGGACAGCATGCACTCCCTGGGCTGCTTCAGAGACAAAAACAAACTTCTGAAAGACCTGCTCTCAGATGAGTGAGTGGATTAATGTGCAAACACAGGAAGATGGGAAAGAAAGGTTGTAGGAATCATAGGAAAAAGAGAACAATGGGCGTTAGTGGATCAGAAAAGTAAGTTAAGTAAAACGGCTGAAATCAGGGACAATAGGGGGCTATGATGAAGGTAGAGAGGTCCATCCTCTCATCTATGAGAGGATGGGTGTGTTCTTGTCAGTGTGCCTCTCAGCCATGGTTTTCCCTGAGCTCATATGAAATCCTGTGAACCCGTCGCTTTAGATGTCAGAAGCCATAGATCACTTAACGGCTGCCACACAGCTCCCACACTGCTTGCTGCTGCATACAAACTTATCCTGCGACGCATCATGAACATGCTCATGGGTTACCTTTGTAATGTCCTGCTGATATCTGTGTCTCCCTAATGCATGGGAAATTTGGTTCCTATAT